CAACAAGTTTGTGTTTGGCCAGAACATGAGCGAGCGCGTCTTGGTGAGTAGTCCTGGCTGGCACTGTTACCTACTTGGGGGCTCACAGCATGTGGCTGTCATGCTGTCTCCTGTACAGTCAGGACAGGATTCTCAGGTACAGGAATGAGAAAGACCAGCTCCAGCTCACATTCGCTACAGGCTTCTGTTGCCCCCCAGAGGCTGCTAGGGGGCCGGCTTCACCCTCTCTTTACTCTTCACTGACACAGGCATCCCTTTGGCCAGCGCCATAGCTGGCCCCAAAGCTATACCACTGAGACAGGTGGCCTGTGTCCCTGTTCACAGAATCAGCCATGCCTGCCACTTCTGCAGGACAGGGGCAGCCAGGATAGCAGGCGCATGTATATTCCCTGCTTTCTGAACACTTGTAGCCCAGGACGTAGAGTCTAGCGATCACCAACTCCTCTCAGCCATTTTCTCCCTCTGGGTGTGCATCCAGCCCCACCATGGTGTCCACAGACTCTGGTCATGCCCCTTGGCACCTGGTACGGTCGCCATGCTGCAGCTTATTCCTGTTGGTCTGCCACAGCGTGTGGTCCTAAAAGGAGGGCCTGACTAGGAATGCTGTTGAGGACAGGCCCCTGCAGGGTGCTCAGGTGTCAGGCCTCCGGGAAGTGCTGAGCAGCCGTCCCTGCTGGGCCTCTCACTCTGTCCTCAGCACCCACAGCAGCTCCGCCCTGGCACGCTTGTTTCCTCAGAGCCCCCCCAAGCTGAATGAAGCCAACTCAGATGCCAGCAGGGAGACTACGCATGTCCAGTCAGGGTCTGAGCCATCATCCCAGGAGGCTGTCCCCAAGAAAGGTAGGGCACAGCTCTGCACACCTCCCGACCACTAGGCAGGGACAGCTGTGGCCCCAATAGATGTGAGAGGTTGGCTTGAAGATCCCGGGATGGATGGCGGGTGGCCATGCTCTGCTGACCAGGACAGGGCTCCTCAGGTCCCCAGGAGCCCCAGGCCTGCTGACTTGGCTGTGGTTTTGGGTCCTCTCCATGCAGAGTCACTAGCCGAGTCAGCCGCTGCCTACACTAAGGCCACAGCGTGGACATGTTTGCTGGAGAAGGTGGAGGTCATCACGGGGGAGGAGGCGGAAAGTAATGTGCTACAGGTGAGAGCAAGCATGCTGAGCAGGGCGGCCAGGAGTGGGCTGCATAGCAAGACCTGACTTCCAGAACAGCGAGTGAATCTGGGCATCCTGTCCCACACCTTCAATCCCAGCACTTGGGAGGCAGAGGCAGGGAGATGTCTGTGAGTTCAAGGCTTGGGCTACTGAGAAAGTTCCAGGACAGTCAGGAACGTTTTTGCCTAAACGACTTGCACAGCCACTGTCACAGTTTGAGCCCCGTCCAGTGAGCTAGCACCCAGCACCCGCAAGTCTTCCCCTTGCCTCTGGGTTTCCCAGTTCTGAACACTTCTGGGATTCTCTGATGTATGGAGTTTTGTCCTGGTTTTGTCACTGAGTTTGGTGTCCTTAGGTCGGTTGTTTCTGTCCCTGACTGGGTAACACTCCAAGGGACGGCATGGTGCCAGTGAACTAGTACGTGTCTCTTTCTGCTTCAGGGCCCTCACAGGCAGTGTTACACGTGCATGTAAGGACATTTACTTGCTTTCTGGGTTGGCAGTGGAAGGGACTGCCATGCTGTTGTCTTCCCAAGCACTGTAGGATGTCCCTGCAGCCAGGCAACTCCTTCCCGCGGGAGCGAGGTGTCGTCTCTGTGTGTTTGGGTTGCCAGAGTTCTCCTTGCTTACGCATTTGGGCAGGGTACATGGCTGCATAGTAAAACCTAGCTTGCTGGAGCTTGGCTTCCATTCCCAGCACCACAGAAACCAAAACACATACAAAGAGATGACTGTGGATAAAGAACAAAGCTGGGTGCTGGCTGGCAGTGTCCTGACCATAGCTGTGGACTGGTAGCCAGGTGGGGTAGTAAGATACCCAGCATCACTGGTAGCTCTTGATTTGAAGTGGAGCCTGAGTTTGGTGGGGTACAGAGCGTGGGTACCCACACCCTGCTCACTGACCCCATGTGTTACAGATCCAGTGTAAGCTGTTTGTGTTTGACAAGACCTCACAGTCATGGGTGGAACGTGGCCGGGGACTTCTGAGGCTCAATGACATGGCATCAACTGATGACGGCACGTTACAGTCCCGGCTGGGTGAGCACTGGGGAAGGGTAGACCCTCCTAGAGGTGGCCAGGGGTCACACCAAACCAGAAGTGTGGGGACCACAGCTGGGATGGGGCATGGCTGTGAGCAGGGCTACGCATCGGGCCCTCTGGCTGGGGCCTACTGCTCCTGCACACTCACTCTCTGCTCAAGCATCCTTAGTGGAAACAGTACAACTCGGAAGCAAGGTGGGGGCAGGAGCGTGTCAGCCTGGGCTGTGAGTCCTCAGAGCAGTGGGCACTGCTCCAGTGTCGGTTGGAGCTGCCCTCCTCTTGTTGGGGTCTTGTGAACATGGTCTCTCTGTCGCCCAGGCTGACCTGGGATCCACCGTGAGCCCTTCCAAAGACATGGGGAGCTCCTGTCCATTTGGTTACATTTCCTTGAAATGTCAGCTTAAGCCCAGAATTGGGAGGTGAGGCAGGAGGACTGATATGAGTTCAAGGCCAAGCCCAAAACAAAAAACAGTCTGTGACTTGTGACCCTGTACATATGGGGTAGTTGGGGGCTTGTTGTTGTTCTTTTTGTGTTTGTTTGTTTTTAAATTTTATTTATTTTATGTGCATTGGTGTTTTGCCATGGGTGTTGGGTTTCCTGGAACTGGAACTACAGACAGTTGTGAGCTGCCATGTGGGTGCTGGGAATTGAACCCTGGTTCTGTGGGAGAGCACTTGGTGCTCAGTGCCTTCCCCCCCCCCTTTTCCTGAACAGGGTTTCTCTGTAGCTTTGGAGCCTGTCCTGTTACTCACTCTTGTAGACCAGGCTGGCCTGGAACTCACAGAGATCCACCTGCCTCTGCCTCCTGAGTGCTGGATTAAAAGCGTGGCCCACCACTGCCCAACACAGTCAGTAGTACTCTTTAACTGCCGAGTCATCTCCAGCCCTAGTTTTTTTTCCACCCATAACAGGTAGCAAGCCAGGAACTACCTGTATGATGCTTATTACTGGAGCCTCAGATGAGCTCCTGGCCTTGGGGGGAAGGGAGGATGGGACTCATAGGCCTGACTGGGTGGGGAGAGTTGGGATCCGCCTCACACACGTAGTAGGCTTGGGCTTCAGGTGGGGCGGGTGGTCTCCATCTCAGGAGGGCTCTGTGAGAACATGCCTGCCCTGTTCCAGACCAGCCCCCTCCCTGCAAGGGCATGGCTCCCCTGGTCTTCTGGAGGTGGGCTGCAGGTTAGGACATGCATGTAGCTAAGCGGCCTCCTTGCTGCAGTGATGCGGACCCAGGGCAGCCTGCGGCTCATCCTGAACACGAAGCTGTGGGCACAGATGCAGATGGACAAGGCCAGCGAAAAGAGCATCCGCATCACAGCCACAGACGCTGAGGACCAGGGCGTCAAGGTCTTTCTGATCTCGGTGAGCTCGGGAAGGCTGACGTGGAACACTGGCTCATTACTGGTCACTGTCCTAATGTCACAAAGCAAAGACACAAACCTCCCTGGGCAGTTCCCGATAGCTATATGCACACCATGCTGTCCCCTCTACTACACGTTACATGTGGAGGGATGACAGACCCCACTCTGACTCTCCAGGGGCCTTCCATCACTCGTAGTCCCATGTCAGAGAAGTCAGCTGCCAGGCCAGTGTGGCCCAGTGGCAAGCCAGAGTCTACATGTGTGGATGCTGCCCAGCTTGGCTGCCAGCTACACACTGCCACCTCACACACTGTCTCCCCAGGCCAGCTCCAAGGACACTGGCCAGCTGTATGCAGCCCTGCACCACCGCATCCTGGCACTGCGTAGCCGGGCTGAGCAGGAACAGGAGGCCAAGGCTCCTGCACCTGAGCCAGGGGCCACCCGGACCACTGAGGAGGAAGACAGTGATGAGGATGCGGTGCTAACTCCCTCAGGGGTCACTCCCTCAGGAGCCGGTGAGCAACATGGGGCCTGTGGGAGGGACTCCAGCTGGTCACAGTGGCTGTGCTGGGGCTGAGGGACCCACTCTTCCCACAGGCACAGGTGATGAAGGAGATGGCCAGACTCCTGGGAGCACATAGCAGCAGAGCCACTGCGCCAGGCTGCTGCTTTGTCGTCTGTCCGCTGCCCGTCCCTCCCTGCAGGCCGCGTCATGGTGGTGTCTATTGCTGGGGTGGCCGCAGGCTGGATCCGCGTGTCCCCTCTGCAGCAGATGGGGATGCCAGGATGCGGCTTGGGACTCAAACCTCATCATATTGATGAGCAGAAAGAACGTTCCCTGCCCTCCTCCGATCGAAAAGGCACATTGACACTTGTCACAGCTTCCGCTGGCTCTCAGACCTGGCCTGGTCACCCAGCCTCGTGGTGACCAGCTCTCCCTCCCTGGGCAGCAACAGTTCAAACTCTGAGCTCAGCGTTCTGTTGAAAGCAACCTGCTGTCTGCTCAGCTTCCCACTCTGCCAGGTTCACATGGCTGATGCCTCTTTCATTTCTGATGGCTTGGCTTTCGAGGACCTGGGTGAAGCTGCTTTTTGGCTGAACTGACTTGATGTCCCCGTGGGAAGCGTCCGGCCCCACAGCGACTCCCTAGGTTTGGGCCTGAGAACGCCTGTCTGGACAACGCTGGCGCAGGAGGGTTCCTGTGCTCTTGTTCACCTGCACCACCTGGGCCTCCTAAGCAGCACAGCCCTGAGGGGATTGACCATCTAGGGCCCCTGAAAGGCAAATGGTGACACCCCCACTCATAGACTATGTGGTTCCATCTCTGGCTGGGCCACACCCGGGGAGCCAGCAAGGATACCAGAGGCTGTCTGGCAGATGGGTCGGTCACACTGCTTCCAGCCTTAGCCAGTCAGTGACAAGTGACTCCAGATGTCGCCCATGTGTTTTGGAACATTTATGTAAGATTGTCATATGAAATGTATTTGAGAACTGCATTAAAACTTTTAACTAAAACCCCGACCTCCCATGCACCTGGCAGCCAGACAAGCTGGGTGTGGCCATGGGGCCCCCTGATGGGGTCAGTGCTCTATCCAGCCAGGCCTACGGGTGGCCCTGCCAAAGACCTGGTCCAGCCGGTTCTTCAGCCTCCCGTTCTCACATATTCCCCTCCCTGTGTCTAGCTGGGGCCCCAGGACAGTGGTGACAGAGGAGCAGATGGGTCAGGGGACTAGGCTAAGGGCGGTTGTCAGGCAGCTGAGGGCAACAACATCAGAGGCGCCAGGCATTGCTCACCATGGCCACGAACTCTGAATCTGTGTCCACTGAAGCGCTGAGTCCCCTGTAGTAGTCTTGGAACTCGGCTAGTGTGACCTGTGTGGCGGGGGGGGGGGGGTAGGATGACAGGCTATGAGGGGGGAAGGCTGAGTGGGACCCAGGCCAGGGAAGCTGCCCCTGTGGGAGGTACCAGGTGAACACACCTGCCCATCCTTCTCAAATGTGTCAAAATTGTCGAGGAATTGGTGAAGGGCCTCATCCTCTGTCCACTCTCCACTGCGCACCTTGGGGTGAGCGCGGCCAGAGTACACCCCTCGCAGGTCGTCCACAGTCACCACACCATCCCCTGTCTGGTCCAGCTTGGCAAAGGCGGCTGCAATGACAGCTTCTCGGGCCTGGGACATGGGGGGCTGTAGAAGGGGACAGTGACTGAGGGGTGCTGGGGTTTGCCACTCTCACCAGCACCCCCTCTCAGTGTCTGAGGTCAGCCTCACCTGTAATGCCTGCAGGAACTCCTCCAAGTCCAGCGTCCCACTGCCGTCGCGGTCCCAGCGTTTGCACAGTGCCTCTGCCTCTGCCTCCCCCACATCCAGTCCCAGCTGTCCCAGGCCCTGCCTCAGCTCCTCTGCATCCAGGGACCGGCTGCCATCCTTGTCCAGGCGGCGGAAAAACCTGGGGAGCAAGATATCAAGATGGGATTCCATTGATGGGAAGTGCCTGGCCAGAAGGTGCCGAGAGTACCGGGGATGAGGGCTCACCTGGCCAGGTCCTGGATGCCTGAGGCCCCTCTGGATAGACACTGGGCTCTCAGCCTTTCTATGGTGGCATTTACGGTGTCCATTATGAGCACAAATGAACACTGCAGAGACAGAACTTGCAATGGGTTTCTGTACTCGGCTGGCCTGACAGAGCTGCTTGCTGATAACCACACAGCCCAAGAACACCCCGACCACTCACCTGGCTTCCCTGTGTCAGGGTCTGGCTGGTGGAGCTCTGGGGAGGTCTGTGCGTCCTGCCTGGCACAGCTGTTGCTAGGTAATATAGATGTCTCTGGGGTCAGGGAGGGGCCCGACTGTAACTCTTTCTGTACCAGGCACATTAGCCTGCCAAGAAGGGCAGGCACTGTGACTCTCAGACCCCTTTCCACCCCTGGGGCCACAGTAGCTTCAAGCCTGGCTGGAGACTTGGGGCACACAAGCTGTCTCACTCTGGACTTCAGGGGTACCCCAGCTGTTTGGGAAACTTGAGATGGGGACATAGCTGAAAGTCTGAAGCCAGGTTGGGCTACAGACTGAAACCTTTGTCTTTCAAACAAACAAACAAACAAAATAAAATCTGGGGCCTGGTGTACACAGGTATAATCTTGGCATGCCAGACGGAAGGACAGGAGTTCCAAGCTATGTGAGACTACCTCAAAATCAAAAGAAATATTGTCCATGAGTTTCCAAGCCAACCAGTGTCATGATTCAGTTAATGAGAGGCTGAAGTGACATTTGCTACCCAAACGGATGGCCTGTTGTACTCCAAACATTGGCAAGTTTTAGAAAACTAGCTCATTGTTTGCAGTTTTTGGTGCTGGGGATGGAACCCAGAGCCTTGGCATGCCAAGCAAATGTTGCTAAGTCACCCCTCAGGCACCATTGCTTTTCTATAGAGAAATGTAAAATATAATTAAGAATTGCTGGGAGCATTCCTTTTCACAGTGCTGGGATAGAAACCGGGGTCCCAACCCATGGCAAGTAAGCCCTACCACTTAGCTACAGCCCAAGCAATTCTGAGTCTTAAGATGCAAGGCCACAAATCACAATCCCAGAGAACCCAGACAACAATGAGGACCCTAAGAGAGACTTACATAGATGTAATGTACATGGGAAGTAGAAAAAGACAAGATCTGAGTAAATTGGGAGCATGGGGACCTTAATTTAAAAAAAAAAAAAAAGTAAGGCTGGGGAGTAAATTTCAGCATTACAAACAAGCCCCCCACCCCGCCTGGCCTGGAATCCCTAGAGAGAAGCTGGGCATGTGGTCACTGGTGGAACTTCTACCTAGAATCCCCCAGATGGGGAGTGGAAGGTGGCGCTTAGGTAATAAAACCAATAAATCCTTGTCCCCTAAATTCAAAGTTGCTTTGGTACACAGAGCAGTTTCCTTTCCCTTTGGTCTGAGTGTCCTCAGCTGTGACAAACTGTGCAGAGTTGCAGGAATTGTGACTCCAACCCCTTCAGATGTGTTCTTCAGCCAAGGAGAACTGTACTGTCCTACCCAGTCCCCACAACAGGAAGGACAGCCCAGGCTTAGAAATAACTGGTTTATTCTGGTGTGTCTCTCCTGTACAAACAACTCCCTCCTCCCTCTGTTTTCCTCTGCTGAGGGTCCCAGGCAGGAAGTCAGCACCACGCAGGATTCAGAGACAGCTGGATGGAGCAGCCCCTATCTCCCCCCACCCCCAACACACGCACACTTGGTGGCTGCTCCAGGACAATTCCCTGAGCACGGGGACCATGAAACTCAACAGACCAGCTGCTGGTTGCACGCTGGCTGTGGGGGCGTGTGAGGACTCTTCCCCCCCCCCCCCCCCACTGCTCTGACGAAAACAACACACCCTCACCATCGCAGGCCCGGGACAGCACCGAAACCAGAGTTACAAAATAGATCCTCTCAGGGTATCAAAAGGAGACTTGCTACAAAAACACCATTGTCCCTGGGACAGGGCAAGGGCTAATCAGATGTCCGGGAGGCTCCTGGCTGTTGGGGGCCTCATCAGCTGTGGCAGGTGCTGATGTAGACAGACGTTCAAAGGCAGCCCCAGCTACATAAAAGGGCAGAGGCCAGCCTGGAATACACAAAACTGCCTTAAAAAAGCAAAAGAAGCAATCACAGTGGAAGGCAGCAACCAGGCTGTAGTAATTACTACAGGGACGCTGGTCAGAAGGCCCCTCTGAAAGGGGACATTGGAGAGAAACCTGAGTGTCATGAGGGAAGGCTGAGGCTTGGACTGTGGTGTCAGAGGGAAGGATGGAGGCAAGGGAAATGGATCCTGGGTTCATGATTTGTCGTCTTTCACAGAAGCAACAGAGCATGAAGTAAGGAGATTCTGCCTCGGGAGGGATGAGTGGTGATGGGTCAGGACTCATGTCACCTGGGCATGTGACTTACACTTGTATTCAAAGCACTTGGAAGGACTGTGAGTTCCATCTCACAGCAAAAAAACAAAACAAAACAAAAAACCAAGATAGGGCTTGGTGTTGGGTGCCTGTCATCCCAGCAGAGTTCAAGGTCATCCTCCTGAGACAGCCTGGGCTCTGTGGAACCCTGTCTCCAACAGGAAACGGCACGGCTTCGGAGTCAAGCTGCTATTACTTCACTGGTGCTGGGATGGCTGTCCATCTGTCAGTTTGCCAGCATGTCTGCATGCTGGGCAGGGGCTCCACCACTGAGCCACTGCCTCACCCCTTGTTTATTTTGGAAATTATTTAAAATCAACTGAATGTAGCAGATGCCCCAAGCGCTGGGGGGGGGGGGGGGGAACTGTTTTAAAATGGGATCTTGGCCTTTTATTTGTTCTGATGTTTATGAGATCCCAATAATATCCCAGGACCCCTCAGGGACACTGGCGATATCCAGGGCTCTGGGCCTTGGCCACACATTCTGAGATCTGATCTGCCAGAGCAGCTCACACCGTGGTCCCAAAGACAGCAGGCTGCAAGTCATCCTGGCCCTCCCCAGTGCTGTTGCCCAGGGGTGGGCCGGGCCCATCGGGAAGCAGCTGGCCCTGGCTGCTGGCTGGCGAGGGGCCCAGTCGCTCAGCCTCCTCCAGGGCAGTCAGCAGCGCAGCCAGGGGCGGCCGTCGGCGAGCAATGTCCTGCAGCAGGTCAGCCTGGGGCTGCAGCTGCTTGATCACCTGGTCCCTCTGATCCACTGCAACCTGCAGACTGCGGACAGCGGCCTCAGAGCTCAGCAGCTGCTCCTGGAGGGCAGAAATCTCCCTGGTGAGGGGGCCAAAGGAGGGTAGTTACTACTAGGGTAGAGGGGATCTGCCTACCTCCACTGCCTCTTTATTTGTGTGCTTGTATGTGTGCTCAAATGCCCACATGTAAGTTGGTTCACTTCTACCCCATAGGATAAAATTCTTTATCTTTTTTTCTTGCTTTGTTTATCGAGAAGACAGGGTTTTTCTGTGTAGTCCTGGCTGTCCTGGAACTCGCACTGTAGACCAGAATGGCCTGGAACTCACAGAAATCCTCCTGCCTCTGCCTCCCATTCTTTTTTTTATTATGTATATAGTGTTGTGGGCATCAGATCTCATTATAGATGGTTGTGAGCCACCATGTGGTTGCTGGAAATTGAACTCAGGACCTCCAGTTCTGAACAGCAGTCAGTCCTGAACAGCAGTCAGTTCTCTTAACCTCTGAGCCATCTCCCCAGCTCCTCTGCCTCCCATTCTTAATGGCAAGTGAGTGCCCTTACCCACAAAGCCATCTCTATAGCGTTGGTAAAGTACCCAAACCCCACAGCATGCCTGGGGCCAGGGTTCTATCCCTAGCACACCATCATCCCAGCACTCCAGGGGATCAGGAGTTGAAGGGAATCCTGGCTACACAGTGTCTTCCAGGCCAAAAACAAAATAATGCCAGTTTTGTGGCTCCTTCAGAAGGACTTCCTTGTGGCCCAAAATGGTTGCCACAGCTCTGTCTACTGTATATGGGTTCTGACATCGCGGTCTCGGGTGCGCTGTGCACCTACCGATGGGCTCCTACCCAGCAGCCCCTAGGACATGCTCTTCTCTTCACACCTCCTCCGATCTTCAGACGGGTACAAAACTCTAGAGTCCCCAGGGCGGGCAGTACCAGGGGACCAGGCCTTGCGGGACAGCTGGCCCCGTTTGAACAGTTTGAGACACTCATACAGCCCAGGCGGTACTCCTAACTCCTGATCCGCCGGCCTCAGCCTCCTCAGTGCCACGATGCCAGACACGTAGAGCTCCTGGTTCCCAGCCCTTGCCGCCCGCCTCCTCCGGGAAGTCCGCCGGTCGGGCCTCCCCCGGGGCCTCACCGGTCCTTGACGCGGCCCAGCTCGTCCAGGGCGGCGCGCAGCTGCTGGTCGTGGCGGGCC